TTGTCACAACTCATTGCTGGCAAATGGAGGGTGTCCTGTGCGACTCCACTGGGAGAGGAGTCTTGGAATGGAAGCTGGTGCCTGCTTTCCTCTGAACTTGGCCCCGCATGCCTTTCTTTATCTCTGTGGATTTTCCTCTGTATTCTCTCATTGTAATAAATCATAGCTGTGCCTATGACTACATGCTGAGTCCTATGAGTCCTCCTGGCCAATCATCAAACCTAGAAGTGGTTTTGGGGGCCCCTAACAGAAAATTTTAAAGTGTTCATAGGATATAGAATGTCCAGTGAAGATGGCAGCAGAGGTAAACACAGTACTCAAATCCTCCCACAACCACATCAAATTGCAACTAAACTACAGAACAACCATCCCTCAGAACCACCTGAAATGTGGCTAAATGAAAGTCCTACATCTAGGGATTTAAAGAAGAGGCCACACTGAGCCTTGTAGGAGGGGTGAAGACACAGAACAGGCTGGTCCCACACCCATGTGTGGTGGTTTATAATCGGGAGGGATATCTCAGCTGCACATATCTCCCCTGAGGTGTGAGAGGTCCCAGCCCCACACCGGGGCCTCCAGCTCATGGTTCCAATGCAAGGAAGAGAAGTCCCCATAACTTCTGGCTGTAAAAACCAATGGGGATTAAAGCTAGGGAGTTAGAGGGCTTCTGGAGTCTCAGGCAGCTCCTGTTAAAGGGCCCATGCATGAAGTTACTCAGACTCACTTGCTCTGATCTCCAGCACTACAGCAGTAACTCGAAAGGCACCAGGGACATATGGGAGAAACAGAACTGTCTGGCATCAGAGTGAGAGCTAAGGAGGGGGCAGCTTTCTCCCAGAGAGAAGTGCTGGCAGAGGCCATTGTTCCTTTTCTGAGCCCTCCCCACATTAAGCCATCAGGGGTGGAGCACCATATCTGAGTCTCCACCAACCTGGCTAACACTGTTTACCCTGCTCTGGTGATCCCCTTAAGACTCCACCTGATCCAACTTTCAGGCCCACCCAAGCCATTTCCGGTGGCTTTTCTGCACAAATGGCCTCTCTTGCTTCATGCTTCAGACTTTCCTAAAATCTCCCACACAAGCAGCATCTGGCCTCTGCACACCCTGTACCTCTTGCTAAGTGGCCCCAGGCCTGGCACTAGGAGCAGCCAGCCTTTATTACAGTCTTCTGGGCACATCCAAGCCCAGCACAAGTAGCAGCCATTTGCAGATCACTCTGAACCTCATGCTGGGTGATCCTAGGCAGGGCACAAGACATGGATGACCTTACTCTTTCCAGGAGGCCCCAGAGGCAATGCACCTAGTAGACAGCTTCAGACCATACCAGATTATAACCCTATCACCTTGAGGAGTGACACACTCAAGGGGCAGATGTGGTGAGCACCAAAGTCCCACTGAAGCAAGTCCTGCTCCTTAAGGTCCACTCCCACCCAGCAGTTCCTTGAAGCCAATCAGCCTGGGGTCAATCCCTGAATGCGAAAAGTAATCAAGGCTCAACTGCAATCAAAGCACACAGCCCAGCTCTGGTGACTGCGGAGTCTGAGCCACTGGGCCCTGAAGGACACCTACTACATCAGGCCACTCTACCAAGTCTGGGAGACCTAGCAGCTCTATGTAATACATAGAAACAAACACAGGAAAGTGGCCAAAATGTGGAAGCAAACAGATCCCAAATGAAAGAACAGGAGAAATCTCCAGGAAAAAGAAAAGCTAAATGAAATAGAATCAAACCAACTACCAGATACAGACTTCAAAACAATGGTTATACGGATGCTCAAGGAACTGAGAGAGAACATCAGCAGCATGAAAATGGACATGGAAACCATAAAAAATAACCAGGTAGAAATGAAGAATACAGTAACTGAAATGAAGAATAATTTACAGGGAATCAACAATAGAGTAGATGAAGCCAAGATCTGAACAACAATTTGGAATATAAGGAAGCAGAAAACACCTAATCAGAACAAAGAAAAGGGAAACCAAAAAATGAGGATAATGTAAAAAGCCTATGGGACAACTTCAAGCATGGCAGCATTCACATCACAAAAGGAGAAAAGAGAGAGCAAGAAATTGAAAACTTATTTTAAAAAATGACAGAAAACATCCCTAAGCTGGTGAAGGAAATAGACACACAAGTCCAGGAAGTGAAGAGAGTCCTAAACAAGATGAGACCAAAGAGACCCTCACCAAGGCACATCATAAGTAAAATGCAAAGGTTAAAGACAAAGAGAGACTCTTAAAAGCAGCAAGAGAAAAGCAGTTAGTTAACTACAAAGGAGTAACTGTCAGCTGATTTCTCAACAGAAACTTTGTGGGCCAGAGAAGAGCAGCAAGAAATATTCAAAATAATGGAAAGCAAGGACTACAACCAAGATTACTCTACCCAGCAAAACTATCATTTAGAATAGAAGGGCATATAAAGAACTTCCTAGATGAGGAAAACCTAAAGGAGTTCATCACCACCAAACCAGTATTATATAAAATGTTAAAGGGTCTCCTTTAATAAGAAGGAAAAAAAGATTAAAAAATATGAACAATAAATACATATCTATCAACAACTGAATCTAAAAAAAGAATAAGTGAAGCAGCAGAACAGAAACAGACTCATAGATACAGAGAGCATTTTGACAGTTGCCAATGTGAGGGGGTTAAAGGGCTGGGTGACTAAGGTGAGGGGATTAAGAAGCACAAATCAGTAGCTGCAGAACAGTCATGGGGATGTAAGGTACAGCATAGGAAACACAGTCAACAATATTCCAATAACTATGTATGGTGTGAGATGGGTATGAGATCTATCAGAAGGATCTCTCAGTAAGTTACATAAATGTATAATCATGGGGTTGTATACTTGAAACTAATATAATATGTTGAGTGTAATTGAAAAATCAAAAATAATTTTGAAAACTGCAAGTGTCATAGGGTACGGCTCGGATCACAAGAAGCTGTGGGCTCATAAAAAGACCTGTAGTAAGAGGACCTCAAAGGAATGCTTGGCGACAGGAGTGAGTAGGGTATGGCTCGGGGTGGTGGCGTGCACTGGGGAGGACACTGCAAAATGTTACAGCAGAGAAGGCCATTGCACCTGCACGATCCTTTGTCAACATTTTATTAGTGTCACTTCTTTGTCTTGGGTTTGAGAAATTGTTTTGCCTATTTCCAAAATGACAGCAGACATCATGAATTCACAAGGCTACTTAAAGATTCATTGCAATTCAATCTCCTCAGTAGTGGAGTAACCCCCGAACCCAGAGGAGCCACGGCTGACACACGGGGAGAGACAACCCTGCTTCTGGCAGCACAGGTCTGGCAAAAGAGCATGGCTTTAAAAATGTAGGTTAAATGAAATGAATGCTTACAAGATCTCAGGTCCACACACACACCAAATGCCCTCTGCCTTTCCCTTCTCCTTATGATTTAGTTGGTCTTCAAAACTAAGAAACAGACTAGTCAATGGGAGAATGTGTTCTTCATTGGAAAAGAATTCATTTCATTTTAAAAGGATTGTAGTGGATATTCAAGAACAGGGACCATGTCTAATCACAGGCACAAGTACTTCTTTTTGATTTATGATCCTCACAACTCCACGAGGCAGATGATGGGACTTCCCTTTCATCTTCCAGGGTGCCTGGTCTGTTACATGACAAGCAACGATGCTCACTTAAGACTCACCACTTGACTGATTAGTAATGGCTTTAGAAAAATGACTGCTTTACAGAAATTAATAATTGCTGAAGTCTGTCAGTGTAAGAACAAGCTAAAAAGCACTCCAGGCATTTAGAGGAATTATTAAAATCACAAATTAAGTCATTTCTATGGACTCTATGGCAGGAAATATATTTTTAATGAGGAAATTGAAGCTAATATATAACAGCTGTCCTGTTACTGAGTAATGGAGTATTAAGGCAGATTAAATTATTAATAAAAAATATGGCAACTTGGAAATTTAACCTTTACACACACTCCATTCCTTTCTTTTTTATATGTAGTCTCTAAACTGATGCTGTTTTAAAAAATCACATTTGGTCACATTAAGAAGTTGCCATTTATCATTTCCTTCGCTACTCATTAGGGGTGGACTCTTCAGCAGGCAACTCACTATCAGGCTTCCTCGTGATCCAGTAACTCAAGCGTCTGTGCCTGGAGGAGCAGGAGCCCCTGGGAAACCTACTGGATGATACCTATGCTAGTCAGATGCCCAAACTCCCACTTATTTGGCACCACCACCGGCTCCCCTAAATTAGCCAAACTGCACTTGACCCACAACCCCGATCAGAGACTATTGTTCACATAAAGCCACTGAGAATTTGGAAGTTGTTTGATATGCACCAATAGGTTGTCAATAAGTGATTCAAGAAGTTATTCACAAGTTACTAAAGGCATAACCTTATAAAAAAAAAAAGGAAAAGTAGATGGGGAGCATAAATGGAGAGAAATGGGAAGAAAGGAAGGTTTAAAAACTGCCTAGCATTAGCCTAGCACACAGGGGAACAAGGTCGTGAAAAAAGGAGGACTCAGTGTGGGACCGCCACTTCCTCCGCCTTTGGTCTCCGCCCTTTCTGCAGAGCATCCAATGGCACTAGCTGGGACAGAGCACCTGGGGGTTCACAGTTGCTGTAGTTCCTGGGAGCTACTGACAGGAAGACCCAGGGAAAGATGTCAGTGGAAAACAAGTGGTGGTTACTAGTTATTCTGACCATGTACTTTGGAATGAGATTTGCCACACCTATCTTTTTAGTAAGACACCAACTGCTTAAGAAATAAGGATGTTTTAGTTCATCCATAAAACAGATAACTAATTAATGGACTTCTCATTTCTCCATAGCAATGTTTTCCCTTTTATTTCTTTTTCACTCCATTCTGCCCCCCTCTATCCAAAAAACCTACAAAATACAAAAACATGGCCTAGAAAAGCCAAGTCTTGTGTCTTCCGCGTGTTCACTGCCATCCAACAGGAAGGAAGAGGGGCCATCGTGCAGACCTGGATTGGCGGGGTACTCACGTTGGTGTTGCACAGCTTGTACTGGCGATAGGCCCCAATGCAGGAGATGGCTGCGGACCGGCCTGCCTGGGAAAAGCTCTGGGCTGCCCTGGGGGCCCCCATGGCATGGCTGCTACTAAGTTCTGGGCTGTGGAAGAGACTTGAAGCTGCAGGGAAGCCTTGGTCATAGGTCAAAGGGAGCTGGTAGATGGAGGTCTCTGAGGCCTGCAGTCCAGAACGAGGGCCACTGTCACTCTGGTACAGAGGTCCATGGTGGGGGGCCCGGTGGGCTGGCGGGCTATAGCCATGGCTAGGACTAGATGCCCCCTGGGATCTGGATTGCCGCGATGAGGGCTTCTGCCTCCGAAGCCTCTGCGGTGAGTGTGCGGAGTCCGTCTGCAGTGGTAAGATGTACGGGGCCTTCCCATAGCCATACTTGCCAGGGCCGATGGGACCTCGGGTCCTGCTGCTACAGAAAGACACACAAAAGAGGAGATGAACAGTCAAGGGAACTGTCATGTTCACCCAGAAGCTCTGGTCCACAGTAGAGGGACTGGACAGAAATGAAAGCCTGGGAGAGAGTCTATGGTGGGGCAGGGAGTTAGAGGGGGCATTCCCAGAGCAGCAAGTGTTGTGGGGGCTGGAACAAGGCTCTGCAGAGGCTGGAAGGTGGGGTGAAGGAAGGAATCAGCCATGTGTGATGTCAGGGGTTGAAAATGGGGTTACGATGGTAAGCGGTGGTTGGTACATAACTTATGTCAGGGGGGTTGGGTATTTACATGGGTTGTAGGGACCCACTGAAGGTTTTTCGAGAAGTATAAGATATAATTGTAATTTCAGCCACAGTAACTTCCTGATCTTTTTTTTTCTGATAATAGTTTGTGGGGGTTTTTTCTCACTCAACTATGCCTGATATTTCAGACCCTATTTCCATTACCATTTATGCCCAAATAGCTTTTCCAGGTAGGTAGAACTTAGCTAAGCAACCAAATTCTAGTGCAGTCCTGGGCCTGACTTGTGCTGGGTCAAACTTAATCCCTGAAGAAATGAGAGGAGGTTCAGCGACTGGAGACTCCATCACTCTCCAGGCAACCCATGCCAAACATCGGGTCAGCAGCCATCTTCCTGTCGGTGTGGATTTTGTCGAGGCCTGTTGCCTCGTGAAACCTTATGAAAATCATATAAACAGTGGTGTGTTTGGAAGTGCTTGACAACTGGCATTCCAGAGGGGGGAGAGTTGTAGCATTTTCTCATTTCCGTAGTATAAATACTCCCACCAAGGCCAATTTCAAGCTGCCATCATGGAGACACAATCAGCTCGAATGAGCTCCAGCGTAGGTTGCATGTAAACTTACCACACGACAACTGTTGGTATTGCAAGGGAATGGGAAAGAAGCACAAGATGAATCCAACGTGGCTCTCAGGACCTCGGCCTTACAACTGAAAGCAACTAGGGTCTGAAATATCAGGCATAGTTGAGTGAGAAAAAAAACCCACAAACTATTATCAGAAAAAAAAAGATCAGGAAGTTACTGTGGCTGAAATTACTAGAACATCACGCAGGGCAGGATAAAGGCCTTTGAGGCACTGCCGAAACGTGCTTTGGGAACTCTGAGGCAAGAGGGAGCCCTGTGGTCTGGAGGGATCCGAGAAGGTTTCGCCACCCCTGCTCTGCGACTTGGGAAGCACAGGGTCCAACATTCTGTGGAAGGACTTAAGTAAGCCATATAACTCTTATTTGTAAAATGACTGAACTGGATTAAATGACTGCGAAGGTCGTTCCAGCTCTAAACTTATGTGCTTCCATAATAACTAATTCTACTTTTACGTAAAATTGGAAAGATGCCCAAGGGTTTCTACAAGATGGCCCCATTAAAATAAGCACATTAAAATAGCAATCAAGGTGGAACATTAGTTTTTTGCCCTCGTGAGGAAATTCTTTCTTCACTGTACATAACCACACAGAATATAAAATTTAACAGACCACAACTAATTATTAACATCTTTATCACTAATTGTACCTTCATTCTTAGCTGATATGGCTTTGAATTAAACTATGCTACAGTGCTTATTTTGCCTTTAGGCACTTCTCGATTAATCTTGGCAACACTTGGGACTCTGTTAATGATGGGGGATCCAGCGTATTGCTTTAAGAGATGCATTTAAGAAGTTAGTCTTAAAAATATGTATAACTTGAATGTTAATTTGCGTTTTTCTTTCTCATGCAGGCCAGGTAAAATGAATGACATCATGCAAAGGCAAAGGAAAGAATTTCTCTGTGTGTGTATGTGGGTGTCTTTTTTTTTTTTTTAAAGATCTGAAAGCCTACCAAAATTTCTAGCCTCAAAGTAAATACTGGGTGGAGACCCCCAGCCGAAGGTAACAGAAATGGGGGCGTGGAGCAGAGCTTCTCAACTTGAATGTGCCCGGGAACCACCTGCGGACCACTTGCTGAGAGACAGGCCCTGACTCAGGAGGTCTGAGGCGGGGCCTGAGGTTCTGCATCTCCTACAAGCTCCCAAGTGATGCTGGGGCTGCTGGTCCACAGACCCACAGCTCTGAGAAACAAAGTCGTGGCAGAAAATTGAAATTCCAAACAAAATGGTGAAAATTCAACAGCCAAAGGTATCATGTTATTGAAGAAATATAGGAATAAATTAAAAACAAAAATCTCTGAGTTTGTGACATCTATAAAAACTGCTGTCCTAGGCCATACTGCACGCTGCAGCTCACCCCGTGAGGGCTGACTGGCCCTCAACCCCCCCGGGGGCAGAGGAGGCGGGGCACCTGCTGGTGGCTGAGGACTTGCATAAGCATCTTTTCAAAGGCTGCCCATCACTCCTGAGGGGGTAATGCATACATGTGCAAATGTGCAAATGTATATTTTTGTATTCGCACTGCCTTCTGGGAGGCTCTGTCCAAGCAGGAGAACCATTCAAAACCCACGAATAGCACCACCATTTGAAAGATGATCATTTGTAAACAATGACAAGCTAATTCTGAGAATCAGACTCGAGAGAATAAGCAATTAGGGTGTGATCATGAGAGATGTGATTTCTGAATGCTTGACTCGGAGCACTTGGAACCGCCAAAGGTTCAACCCCATTTGGCCACAAGGACGCATGTTTCCCTCACAGCTGGTCAGAGCTAATCAGCCTGACGGTTCACAATGGCCTCCTCCCCAGCAGGCCACTTGCAGAGCGGCTTACATGAACCAGGCAGATTTATGCATAGTTGGGATAATAAGCACAGATGTGGCCGAGGGGAACCTTGTGGCCAGTTACCCTCCCAGGGGCCCATGCAGTAGATGCCTGGGGGGCTGCTAAGCTGATTAGTTCTGCTTGGGCTCCCCATAACCCATCGCCAGAATTTTACTATGGCCTCCCCTCTTGTCAAAGCTCTGACTAATTCCAGAAAGTGAAGCCTTAAGAAAGAAACAGAAAAAGCCTGGTTTGAAGAGCAAAGATATGCATGCCAGTGTGGCATAGTGGTTAATGAATGACTTGGACTCTGAAGCCAGGGTTCCTGGGTTTATATCCCACCTCTGCTACTTACTGATTTACATACTTACTTACTGAACCTTTGAAAAAATTACTCAGTCTTCTGATGCCTCAGTTTCTTCAAATAGGTCCAAGACTAGGATGAGGCTGGTGAAGCATGTAGCATCAGGTAGGTTCTGGTTAAACCCAAGAGTAATATCTTCTTAAGTTTTTTACCTAAAGGCCTCGCCCTAGCCCAGTCCTCAGTTTATAAATAAATATGATGATAGCATCTTTCTCATGGGTTGTTGCAAAGAATAAACAACTTAGTAAGAGCAACAGACTCAAATACCGACTAGCATAGAGCATGCATGATACAAGTATTTGCGTGAACATTAAAAAATGTTCTGGCTTGGCCATTTAATAGCTCAACAAACTTTGGAAAAGACTGTGCCCTCAGTTTTCTTACTGATAAATGGGAGTAGACCCACTAGGATGGCTATGAGAAAAAGGACAGATAATAAAAGTGTTGAAGAGGATGCAGAGAAACTAGAACCCTCACACATTCCTGGTGGGGATGAAAAATGGTGCAGTTGCTTTGGAAAACTATCTAGACATTCCTCAGAAAGTGAAATATAGAGTTACCACATGCACCAGCAATTCCAATCCTGGGTACACACCCACAGAAATGAAAACATATGTCCACACAAAATCTTAACCCAAATGTCTTTCAAGTGAGAACGGACAAACAAAATAGTAGTATACTACTCAGCCGCAACAGGGATGAAGTATTCATCTCCCATTCACCTATGGCACAGGTGAACCTTGAACACGTTCTAAGTGAAAGGAGCCAGCCACAAAAGGCATGTTTTCTACACTTCCACTTCTATGAACTGCCCAGAAGAGGCAACTCCACAGAGACAGGAAGTGGGCTGGTGGTTGCCAGGGGCTGTGGGAGAGGAGAACAAGGAACGATGCTAAGGATACAGGATTTCTTTTGGGGATGATGAAAACATTCTGTAATTAGATAGTGATGATGGTTGAACAACCTCGTGGATATACTAAAAACCACTGAATTACACACGTCAAATGATGAATTTTATGGTATGTTAATTTATCTCAATAAAGATGTTATTTTTTACATGAGTAATATCTATTTTATCTATTAACAATGATGTTGTAAAGATCAAATAGAGGTTACTAACAGGAACACATTTTTTAAATCTAAAAGCAGTTTCTGTCATGTTTTCCATCATTTGTTTCCACAACCTTTAACACACAAACCTTTACCGAGCAACTTCTAGGAACGTCTACTGAGCACTGTGTGTGACGCTGTCCTGCCTGGCCACACGCCCAGCCCTGACGACATGCGTAGTAGATACAGAGCCCCTTCCCCACGGCACGGCTCATGGACCAAATGCCACAGCAAGCGTTCTGGCGCCAGGGCCAGGCCCAGCTCTTCCGGTGACCTGCCATGGGTTCAGTGGAAATTGTTGTTTTTTGAGATAATGGCTGCAAATAGCATTTTGGAAAGGGTAATAAACACATAAAACATTTTCCTCACAACATGCTGGCTGCCATCCAGGGGCTCATTATGTGTGATGTTGTGCAGCTTTGTGATGTTAATGCTAATCAGTGTGATGATTCCACATCCAGGCTCCTAACTGGGCAGCAGTGCTGGAAATGTGTCATCTACAACCATCACCCGTATCTGACAACACCCATATTTCTATTCCCTGTCCAAACCCCTGTCCTGCAAGTCAACCGCACAGATCCAACTAACCTCTAGGCCAGAGGTCCCCAACCTCCAGGCTGCAGACTGGGCCTGTTAGGAACTGGCCACACAGCAGGAGGTAAGCTTGAATGTAACGCACTTGAATCATCCCAAAGCCATCCCCCTATTCCCTGGTCCATAAAAAAAGATTGTCTTCTACAAAACTGGTCCCTGGGGCCAGGAAGGTTGGGGACCACTGCTCCAGACTAGAGTCTG